CCATCTCGCCGGAAAATTCTATCGCACAGTGGCGAAGTCCACCACCATTGTTCCAAATTGCTCGACGTATGGGCCCGCCTGAATTTGCGATTGACATGGCGCGAAACTATCTTTTCGAAGTCAGAGTTATGAGACGTGGGTAGCTGGATTTCCCTTATCATCGTCGAGGGGTCGAGGCCGAGAAACCCTTAGAGCTGCAAGGGCCAAGCGGCGGTGGTGGTTGTGCATAGATAATAAAACAAAAGAGAAAGAATCAATTTTGGAGAATAAATATATGTTATTTGATGGAGGGGTAAATTGGGGACATTACTCTAAATCGTAATAAATATTTATTTAATTAAATAAATTGGGGGAGACTAAAAAAGGGGTTGGGTCCATCCTCATTTACTTACATGATTAAGGGGGTTTTTACAAATAATCCCGAATAAAATACACCTTATCAGAGTATCGGAAATGACCATTTTGTCCTAATTGTTATTTTGTATCATAGTCTTTTTTCCGTGTAATTAATTTACTTCAAGTAAGAAAAAAAAAGTTTAATGTTGACTTACAGTCATGATGCGTCTATATAACGGGCATATATATGTAGCGGGGAAATTTAAAATTATATAACAAAACATACGAGTCTATAATCATATTATCTATCGTAAACCATAGATGCAATTAATCGCGTATTTAATTTAAACTTACGTAATATATAAATTCTAATATAAATGATTTATACAATTTATATAAGCATATAAAATATAATTCATATAACAACATATATACGAATTAAATCAAGGAAGACTTCAAATTTTACGGTTGTTGGTAAATCCAAGCCGAAGTCCTAATGCTAAGCTTTTGAAACATCCAAAGTTTCTTGTCCGCCTGCAATTTCCAGACCTCTTCCAATTCCAAATATAAATCAAAAGCAATTTATATTATAGCAAAAAGTTAATAGACACTAGCATTTCTAAAACTATGACATTTGTCCTAGATAATAATTTAACGTTGAAACTATGATTTTAGATCTATTTTGAATGAATTGTTTGATTATAAATATTAATTTTTTACATGTTTATTGTATTTTTATTCAATGATATATATATTGTACTATTTTTAATAGTTAGTATCTATCTTACGATACGGTACGATAAATGCATACATTACGATGTGTGGAGGAAAACAGTACACGATATACTTCGATATGATAACAATGGTTGATATTACGAGCATAAAAGAGTTATCTCCAAAAACTATTAACCACAAGGGGGGCTTTATGATAAAACCTCCTTGTTCAATTTTGACTTCTTGATAAATTCATTTTTTAAATTGTTATTTGCCATAAACTTAGTCAACCCAAAATACCTTATATGCCCCCACTTAATTATTCTAATAAATTAAAAAGAAATTATGTTAATATATTCAAATCATGCCCTCAATCTACACACAAATCTTCTCCAAAAATTTTGCCCCAAAATCACGCTTCACATTTTATGCCCAAAATAACGCTCCCAAATCAATTCTAAAAGTCTCGTTTTTATTTCTTTTCTTATTTTCGATTTTTTGATAAGAAAAATTTGAATTTGTTTTAAGGTTTGTTATTCATTTTGTTAATTTCGGTTTATTATTTTTTATACTTGTGTTTTTTAAAGTTAAATTTAAAAAAAATAATTTTAACAAATTGAAATTCACTATAAACTTACCAAAAACCACTATGTGATTATAGTATTCCATTACGAAAATCCATTATAAATTTATCGAACATCACTATGTAATTAACAAAAACCACTCTGTAATTAATGAAAACCACTTTGTAAATTAATGAAAATCACTATATAATTAGCAAATTCCATTAAAAAATTCACTAAAAAATTATCAATTAACAAAAACCACTCTATAATTAATGAAAATCCATATGTAATTAACGAAATCACTATGTAAATAACAAATTCCATTACAAAAATTCACGAAAAACTTATTAATAAAGAAAAACCACTCTGTAATTAATGAAAACCACATATGTAATTAATGAAAACCACCTATGTAATTGAAACCTTAATTGGCCTTAAAACAGGTAAAATATGGCAATGTGGCACAATTTATTAAGTTCAGGTAGGATTGGAGTTTTTTTTTTTTGGTAGGTGGTAATTCGCAAAAACGGGCAATGTTTAGGCGGTTTAATGCTATCTACTCTTCATATTATATTGTTTAGGCGGTTAAATTTTTTTGGTAGGTGGTAATTCGCAAAAACGGGCAATGTTTACGCGGTTAAAATTTTATTTGCGATTTGTGCATTAGGGTTTAAAATTTAATTAACATATTTAATACTGGATCCGAGATTGATTGTTAAAAGCTCATCTGAGCTCAACTCGTTAGCCTAACACTACCAAAAAACATGGCTTTTGTGACAGACATTTTCGTGACAAAATTGAACAAAATCAGTCACAAATAGGTCTGTCAGAAAAAACCCTCGTCACAAATGACATTGGTGACGGATAATTTAATTATGTCACATCTGTTATCACGGATAGCATCGTCACGAAGCACAATTAATTCCGTCACCGATACCATATACAAGTTGTCTAAACGTTTTGACGGATGTCGTCACAACAAATTATTGTTGTCATTCATCCGTCAATTTTTAGCCCAAAATTTTACATAAACTCAGTGACGGATTCCGTCACAAACAATTTTTTTCCGTCCATACTCCGTCATTCATGGTTGTGACGGAGTTCGTCACAAATAATTTATGATGTCAGTATTCCATCAGTAAGCATCAAAATATTTTTCGTAAATTCGATGACGGATGTCGTCACCAACAAAGATGTTCTATCCATAATCTGTCACTAATCAATAAAGATTGTCCGTCGTGTTTCCGTCATAAATAGTGTCACAATACTTTGTGACTAACTCGTCGTCACACACTATCGGTCACACACTATCCATCACAACTTATGTCGCCAACCTCCGTCACAGCGTAGCCGTCACAAACTATATATCCGTAATATAATGTTGGTCACAAATCTCCATCACCAAAGTACGTCACAGTACTTCCGTCAATCACCAGTCACAAATCCTTAACAATTGTAAATTATAATCCATCATAAGAAGGTCACATTTTCGTCACAAATTATTAATGCAGTAATTATATTTTATTAAATTTTCACAAATCTCCAAAATCAATAAATATTGTAAGCATAACGTATATAAACATTCATAACTTTAATAAAACACAATAAATCCCGGCAAGGGCTTAAATCTCAATCAATCCAACAACTCATAAACGTCAAAAATATATGAAATCATATCGAAAGAACACTCACAAGATCACAATAAGTACGTAGTGATATCATAATGTGACTATTTCCTTTACAAGTATTGACTTTCTCACATCTTATTTCACCGTAGTATTTGTCGTTTTATCAATATCCCATTGCTCTGACCTTTTGTTGTACCTTTTCCCTAACGGCTGAAATCCTGCGAATAATCACATGAAAAATAATCAAATTGAATAAATCAAATCCAACGTGTTTGTGTGTATCGTGTGAACATCAAAATATATTAAGAGATGTACAATTGTAAAGAAATCAATCAGTACTGTAGATATATATTCTACCACACTATAATAAAAATATTAATGCAGGTGATAATATCAAACAATGCTTGGATAAACATTGAGAATCACTAGTAGAAAAATGGCCTTTTGTTACAATTTTTTTTGCTACAAAGAAAAACTCGTTACAAAAGGTATTTTTTACTACAAAATACATGTCGTAGCAAAAGAATATATATCACTACGGCACAACATTCGTAGCAAATACTTATGTGAAACGTCATCGTTTTATTCTTTTACTACGGATTTTACCGTAGTAATAGAGATTATTTGCTACGCTCGGTGTACGGTAATAAAAGATCTAAATTTAATAAAATCGAAATACCCTACCACTTAAACTGAGAAGCACATATCGTCGTCCCTCCCCTTCATTTTCTTTCAATTTCACTTTGTTCACCCACAATCGTTGATACCCTCACAAACTAACACTGGAAGCCATCGTCAGCGAATTACTTCAAGTCTAGCCACCGTCTAACGCCGAGCCACCGAATGCCGCCTCCGCCGCCGCCGCCGCCGCGGTACCCTCTCTCTATTTTTTTTCTTTTTTTTTCTTTTAATGACCTAGGATACCTACAGTCGTGTCTTCGGGCTTCAATAGATCTCTTTTTTAGCACCGAGTTGCAATTCGGATGTGGATTAACTCTGAAATTAGTGGTTCTAAAAACCCCCAATTTTGAAACCCTATCCATGAAGTAGTTTTTGTCTCCTAGTTAATTTTTTGTTATGTTCACGACTAATACTACGAAATTGCATATATTAGCGGTGGTCTTCGCTGCTCGGCGACGAATATTGAGATTCAATCCACTTTTCCAACCTATTTGGTTAGTATTTTAAAAATTAGTTGAGTAGATTTTTGTTTTAGTTAATGTCTTCATGTTCCCTCTTGGTTTCAAATCATTGAATATCACTGGTAAAGTTTGTGTTTTTTTAAGCCACTTCAAATGGTGTTTACTAATGGTTTGTTCTTGAGAATTTAATGGTTTTTGGAATCGAGGTATGGTAAGATGAATGACCCTTCTTTATTGCTTCTCTTTTAGTCCGTAGAGGTGAGATACTAATTTCTTTTAATAATCTTTTGTATGCACGTCCATGGCTGCACGGTCTTATCTATAGCATGACATCATATGTGGTTACCGTGGCACATTATACGCATTAATTTTACATGAAAGTATTATGATTTAACAGTTAGCTTGAATCTTATATTCTACTACTTTAGTTTATGCACAATTGTGAGAACTATTTACAATCTTTGGTGAGTATCAGTTCTATTCCTTGCAATGATAATTGATGCATTCCTACTGCATTAGTTACACTTATGGTGGTGTAGCTCAAGTTTTATTACATATATTATGATATTGTTCTGTAAGGTTTGGTTTGTTGTATACATTATATTATTGTTTAGTTTTATATATAATAAGTTGCTTATTCCTGAATTATTTACATGTTTTGATGTGCTTGTACATTAATGTTATCTGCAATATTATTGATGGATCGTATTTGATTCATAGATCGAGAAGGTTGGTTGAAGATTTAAGAAACAAAAGATGCTAGCTTTTTCAGCCTATTAAGGTATGAAATCCATCTCAAAGTAATTAGTTTATTAATAACTAGAAATATAATTAAATTATTTCATTACTACAAAGTTTAGGACTTCTTTATTTTGTTCGTGCAGATTCAGAGTCGTACACTTATTTTGCCACAGAAGGTGCCAAGAAAATTGAGAACTACCTTACAAATGCAAGGAGTAGAAGGATGTGAATGTATGTATAATATTTTGCTTCCCTTTTCTTACAAATGCAAAGTTGAACATCATATTTTACCAGCACATTGTCCAACCTAAATAATAAACTCAATATGATGATTATTGTTTATGGCGTTGGTATTAAAGTTGTGGAGTTGCTCAATATGTTCATTTGATTCTTATACACGTTTATTGTTTGTTATATTTGTTTTTGCAGAATCTCTTTGCTTGCTAATCGTCTACACTTTAAAGGGTCATATTAAGGAAGAATAAAAGAGTTGAAAGACCAAAATTTCAAGAAAGATACGGGGAAAGATAATCACAAAAGTATGATTGTTAGGCAGAAACACCTATGTGTGGTGTATTCTTTGCACGTAAACGAGCAAGCTTGCCGCAAGAAGATAGGGTGTTGTTGCGAAAGTTTAAAGACGAAACGATGGAGGAAAAAAAATGCAACAGATGGAAGAAGAGTCTGTGAGTAGTTAGTCTTAGAGGAGAACATGACAATATTATCTCAAACTTATGATTTGTATAAATATTCATGGCTAGATGTAAATTTTATGATTTTAAGATATAGCGGGTTTTTTTTTTTTTTTGATTATTTAATTATATATAATTTGGTATTGAATATTCAGGTATTTAATTGTATATTTTAGAATTATTGCTACAGAAAATGGTTTGTAAAAATCATATTTTTTACTACGAGAGGTGGTCGTACCAAAAGCTGGGTTTGGGCACCAGAAAAAAAACAACCTTTTTGCTACAGGACATGTTGTACCAAATAGTCATGCATTTGTAACAAATTCATAGTCGTAGTAAATGCTAGTTGTGCCATAATAAAAAAGTATTTGCTACGACAATGTCCCGTAGCAAAGTATTTGTCACGCCTGTATTTACTACGGAGAAAATTCGTAGCTAATTCGTAGCAAAAAGCCTTTTACTACGAATATTGGACTATTCGCTACGAATTTAAATGGTAGCAAAAACCCTTTTTTCTACTAGTGAATACACAAACTATGAAATATACCTCATCGTTGGTACTAGTGGAATCATAGTGTTGTTGATCTTTATCGTTTTCGGACAAAAGGAAGGATTTCAGTACAGTTCAATAGAATATATCTATTTGCAGCATTTATTTCGTCTTCATTTATAAACGGCCGACCATCTTTCAGACTTCCAAGAGGCTTCCCCGGATGACTGAAAATGGATAGCCGCCTACTAGAATCTATCTCTCCACCATCATCATTTTATTATTAAATGGTTTTCTGTTTTATACATAAAGACATTAGATTGTTCGTGCACAAGAAACGTGAATGATTATAAAAATTCTGAGCAACATTCAACTAGAGAAACAAATATATTACAGTTGACGGTGTACGTTTTGTAGGAGTGGCAATGACTGCAATGAGTTACCGTAGGAGTGGCAATGGTTGCTCAAATAATTGTACTGACCAAAATGAGAGAGTAAAATCTAAGGCTAGTGAAGTGGAATCCGTCGAGACAAACTGTAGCAAAGTTGAGTCTACCTGTGTTCAGCCCAGTGATCGATCAAATACTTGCAGCATAAATGCGATTCACATATCAAAAAGGCGGAAATCAGAAAAGCACATAATACATAATACAAATTGACAGAACAAGGACATATTTCAATTTTCAAAACATAGAAGTTTCGCAAGATAGCCATATAGTTGGAAGTTTTCTACTACACAAATTATAATTTTATCAATTCAAAAACATCACAAATAAATCTGCAAATTGACAATTGGGTTAAGTAATTGAAACCTTGATACAAACCAAACATTTAAGGAAAAAAAAAAAAAAAAAAAAGATGCAGGCCGAGAGAATCAACATATGGATATGTCCAGAACCCCAAAATCGATAAACCCGTCTTCCGCACCACCACCAATCATGATTCTTCTATCAACCGCTGCAATTACTTTCGATGCAAGGCCTCCACCGTCATGGGGTGCTGGACCGCCGCTTGAAGGCGGCACATCTAACGTTGGAGAGATAGAAAGGGAACCGCCGGTGGTACAGAGGAAAAGGGCTGGTGGCGATTTGAATGAAAGAGATTAAAGAAGGAGAATCCTCAAGAGAGAAGATGAGAAACGTGAAAAGAGAGATGAGATAAGAAAATCAAACGGTGGCTAGAATTACACATACATAAAAAAGGTAAAATAGAGATGTTTCTTAGTTAGTTAGGGGTATAATAGTGATAATTAATTGTTTTTAATTAATAAAGGTTGTTTTGGATTTATCTTAAAAATAAGAAATACAATTGGACTTATTATAATGACACTTGTGTAACGGATGTTTTGTCAAATTTTTCCTAAATACTATTTACCAAAAATAATTTTTATTTCAAATATGTTAGAAATAAAAATAAATGAAATTAAAAGACACAAATAAATTGAATAACTATATTTTAGAATTATGAGTATTAATAAGCAGAGTTTGACTCTAACTGAACCCCGAAAGGTAGCAAGATTTGAATCTCTGTTCCTTATATCTTTCCCTTTAGGTTAAAACCTTTTTTACCCAATAATTGCACTAATCAAACCCCATTTAAATGAATCAATCAAAACCTAGATCTCAAACCTTTGACGGAGTATGTATTTCTGCGCCATCGGCACACGGCTACTCCGTCGTGCCGCCGCCTCCCACGACCTCTGCAACACGTAACGGCGGCACAGCCCACTTGGCCGCCGAATCATCCGTTGACCAAGAACGACAGTGTTACACCTGGACGGAGTTGATATGTGCTATTTGTTTTACTTTGATAATGTTTCGAGGCGTCGTCTGGTATGAATCGTACGACCAATATCCAGGCGTCAAAGTCGAATCGGTTTCGGTTTCGTTAGACAACATCGGATCCGACGATTCGCATGTCGTTAGAGCCGCGGAGTGGAATCTAGGGTTTTCCATCGACCACTCACATAGCAAGATGAGTTACGACAATAACGGACTCAAAGACATGTACGTATGGTTAACATGCGCGCCTCGGAATTCGTCGGGAACCTATATTCGAACATTTAGCCGCCACGGAAAGTACTCGATTCGTTTCGGTGCGAGTGTGAACACGTTGTTGCCTGGTCAATATTACACACGTGCTGAGTTGACGCGAGAGCTAACGCTCGAATTCGAGGCTATGTTGCATATGTGGTACGATACAAATAGATTAGAAGTTAAGTGCCAGAATATGACGATCGCGTTTTTGCCGAACGCAACGGAAGGGATTATGAAGGGAGGGCCGAGGTTGTGTGGCGCCATCACATCTGTTGGACTTTATTAATATTAATTTGCATGTGTATTTTCCTTTTTTCTTTAATTTATTAATCGTTGCGAATTTCGTTTGTTTGGTTATATGAGCTGTTTTTTTAGTTATCTGATTCCTTTTATGGTTACAAAAGGCATTCTTATCTTCGTTTAAACCATTAGTACAGGGCATGTGATTGTATTCAATTAGATTTCTGGATTTTATAGTATGCATGTGCATGTTAATATTTTGCAATTAGCCTTAATTATCATCTGGTAGATTTACTGACTAAGGCTTATTAGGGAGTGTAGCATATAAATAACCTGGTATTAGTGTGTAGATCAACGGTAAAAAAATACACAGTATAGTTTTTACCGAGTGTAACATAGAAATAACTACGCAGAGTGTTTAATGAGCTTTGAATGGTATGAATTCCTTATTCGGTCAGCAATACTTTTGTTCAACATGTTTGATCTGCCTCTCTGAATGGAGCTGTCAAGTGCTTAGCGGTTCATTTAAAAAAAAATTGGACTAATTCTGTCAGCAGCGAGCTCTGAATAAATCATGACTAATTTGTATTTCGATGGAAGGATTTATGATGAAGTTCAAATTTGTTGAGCTTGTTTTGATTGAGTTATTTGACAATAAATTCTAAATTCTTAGCCCACATTTTTTTGGTAAATTTCAGGCAATTGTAGGGGGGTTTCAAATTATTTTGAATCTTTCAATTCAAATAAAACTTACACAAAATCTTTCAGGGATGAAATTAACTCATTTGGTAAAATAAAAAATATTGTCACATTGAAACACACATACTGACAAAAATTTAACTCATGAAATATCCATCGACATGAAGTATAAAAATTCCTATAACTAAAAAAATAAAATAAAGCAACACAAAATAATTGGATAACTCAAATTAAACAGCACTTTAAAAATTAATTCCATCATCTCTTACCATTTGGAATTTGAATTGAATTTCGCACATGTCTTCTGTACCACATACGTCCACTCTCCGATATCCAATGAAATCTTGGATATGGCTCCATTTAACAGTCTCGTCCATCTGTTTCAACTTAAATGTTTTTCTGGTCGAAATCGAATATTCCATGTTGAAGTCCAGTGTGGCGACCACAAACTACTGCAATTAATTTATTAACCGAACTGGTAAAGAATATAAACAAGTACGCACATGAACTAGACAAAAAAAAAAAAAACAGAACAAGAAGATGGGATACCATGGATATTTATTCCTCAACCCAAGAGTTAAAGAAGACGATGGAGTACACTATAATACATAGCTAAATGTTATTTTTCTTTTTTAGCAAAGTAATACTATTTAATTATGCCTGAATGCCATATGTTGGATGATCCTAAATTATAACCATTATAATACATCTATATATAGAGAGAGAAATTAATATTTTGATTCCATTATGATTAATGCATGAATATTTCATACAAGATGATGATGACGACGATGATGATAATAATAATAATAATAATAATAATAATAATAATAATAATAATAATAATAATAATAATAATAATAATAATAATAATAATAATAATAATAATAA